GTGGTCTAGTCCAATCCCTTCCTTTCACCTATCAGAAAATTGCAGTTCAATATGATGAGATGCAAGATCTCCTAACTAGTTAATGGCAGGAGAGGAATACAAATCTTATCTCTTTAATATCCAGCCTGGTGCTGTCCTTTCCACGACATTACATTTCTTCTCAAGTATATAATTCACCAGGAGATAGATTTTGATTAAAATATTGCTTTTTCCTGGAACAGATCAGAATTTTAAAATACCAGAGAAAATAAACAGGTTTTTTTTTAAAGATAAGAGCTAGAGGACATGTAAATTAGATAACAAGGAAATAAATTCAGACACAGGAATTTGCCTAGACAAGACAGTTATAAGGAAGGTATTCATTATTAAGACTTAGATGGACCCAGGTAGTTGCTTCAATAAAGAGAAAATTGATCCAGAAACAGAAAAGTCAGAATTAACTCAGTGTAGTCTCAAATCTTTTTCGGCAATAATGTTCTAAGAATTATAGCTATTTTGTGCTTGATTGGTTTATAGAGCTGAAAAAAGTATTGAAACCTACTATTATTATTATTTTTTTAGAAAAACATATCCAACCATGGCAATATTGGCAGAATTTTTGATAAGCAGAATATTGTTCCCACCATAATAGGAGAAATATTTGAATATGTTACCTTATGTGGAAAAGAGACTTTAAGGAGATGACTAAGGTTAAGGACCTCAGTGAACGGTGGGCTTAAAAAACAAACAGACAAACAAAAGCAAAAAAAAAAAAACAGGAACAAGGTCTGCCTTAGCCTTGGCCATCACTGGAAAATATCTATAAAAACAGATATAATTTCCCCTGATAATCTATGACCATAGGACAATATTATTTTCAGAGAGGTCTGAGAACAGAAAACAAATTGCAGAGAGCTGTAGAGGGAGTGGACAGAGTGGAAACCTCGGGGTCTAATCTCTTCATGCTCCGGCATCCTCTAGGCAGCAACACCCCTTCCTGGCCCCTGCCCCCTGCTTGATCTCCAGCACTTGTGGATCCCCAGGTCATCCAAGGTCATGCACCTAAGGCTTAGCCTGGCATTGAGGAGGATGTCCTCAGCCCTGAAATCTCCTTTCCTATCACTTCTCCCTAACGGTCCTAATTTTGCCTCCTGGAGCCAAGGCCTCTGAGCATCAACCCACTTCCACAGCGAACTCTCAGCCTTTGGAGTTTGTCAGTCTGTCTCCTCCAGGCAGATGTCTCCGATGCCACCTGCTGAACCGGCTGCTCATGCAAAAAGGAGGCTGAACTAAGCCTCAGCTGGAGATCCGGGGGTGGCCTTTAAAAAGCAAAGGGCAGGGAGAACAAGGTTTCATAAACTGAGGGCTCCCTTTATTTCTTTGCTAAAATAATTGGAAATGTCGCCTTTTCATGCAACGAATGGGCCATAATTCTAAAAATTTAAAAACATCCTTAGTCCTGGCCGGGTGTGGCTCAGCGGTTGAACGTGAACCTAGGATCCAGGTGACTGGGGTTCGAGTCTGGGTCAGGGCATGTGCGGGGGTTGTGGGCTCGGTCCCCAGCAGGGGGCCTGCAGGAGGCGCCGATCAATGACTATCATTGATGTTTCTCTCTCTCTCTCTCTCTCCTTTCCTCTCTCTGAAATCAATAAAGATATATTTAAAAAAAAAATAAAACATAAATAGAAATAAAATAATGAAAGCATCCTCAAAAGCAGAGCCTGGCGCTCCCTCTCTTTCTGCCCGGGAGTCCCAGCCTCTGCACGGGGAGGTGATTTAGGAGCCCGGGCGGACGTGCTGCAATTCAGGAACCAGGGGCATTTTTCATTTTTGTTTTTCCTGTTATTTATTTCCTTCTCCTCAGGTTTCTGAAAACCAGCAACAGATGGACGAATCCAAGCTCCTCGGAGCAGACGGCGGATCAACCCCCCGCGCGAGCCGGGCCCTCCCGCCGACGGTGCAGCCGCAGAAAAATGGGCCCAACTCTGCCTCCCGCGCGCTCGCGGAGCTTTGCGCGGTCAGCCCTCCATCCGCCCATCAGCAGCCACGCCCGGGAAAGATGGGTCCTCGGGGACTCCAGGGCCCCCCCAACTGCCAGACACCAGACCAAAGGCAAGGAGCAAAGTGCACAGACACGTGCCGAGCTGGGCGGCGGAGGGAAAGGGTGCGCTCGGAGACGCGCGCCCGGCCTCAGGGGTTTGGGCGGGAATTCCAAAGGAAGGGAGCAGAGGGTGCGCGAACGGCGGGCCGCGCAGAGAACTTCTTATTCTGATACATTCTTGCCTCCGCTGACGGCCTCTTTATGCTCCCAGTCATGCTCCTTCCTTTCTTCCCATCAGAACCCAATCAGAATAAAGCTTTTGCACAAAGGAGCAGTGGCTTATAAATAAAATACGATTACTCTCCCCCTCCCATGATGGCATCCGTACAGAAAAATTTGGTGAAACACAGAAATCAATGTGTTAAGGGTGTGGGAGGTGGTTGCCCAAGGAGTTTAAAGGTGCTGCTATCACGCAACCTAAGTACGGTCCTAGGTTTTTAATCTAGATGGTTTCAGTGTCCACTCTTTTTTATAAAATAAGAAAGAGAAATCAATGGCGTATCGAAAAACTGGACAGAGGGGGAGCAGGTTTCTATCATTTTTAGACTCTGGGTTCCCAGATCAAAGCTTGGATAAATATCTCATAGCTGTATCAACAACAGGCTCATGTTCAGTCGTGATTAACAAGAGACAAACACAAAACGTTATCAAAAAGTGGCTTAAACAAAAGGGGGGTTTTGTTTTTTCTACAATATTAGGTAGATATTTGCTGGCAAGCACTAGATCAATAAATCATAACTGTTACGTCTGAGGTCCCTGAAAATCTACTGATCTTTGCCTCATGGTCACCTCATGGCTGCACAATGGCTGCTGCAGACCTGTGTCCATGTTCCAGGCATGAAGAAAGGAAGGGTGGAAATGAAACGGACACACTGCAAGCTTTCTGGGGGGGTCACATCTAATGATTTCCACTTATGTCTCTTAAGGCAGAAGTGTGTTCCTTGACCATGTCTAGCTTCTATGAAGGCTGAAAAATTAATTTTGAAAAATTGAGCTAATTAATGGCCCCTCACCCAAATTGTGGGTGTGGTATTAAAGATTAAGGGGAAATAAATATTAGAGCTATCAGTCCCTATCTTACTAGCTTTAAGGGCAGATGATACATTCTAACTGGAAATATAGTAAAATCTTAATCTGATTGTCTTAATAAGAACTACCGGTGGACAATATTGGGAGTTGGTAGAGGCCTTTTGATAATAAAAAAAATTGTTTTCAAGATTTGGATTAAACAAGCAAACTTTTTAATTTTGAGATTAAACATTGGAAACAATATTGCTTCAGCCCAATCTCTCACACTGGCTAACCTACGTCACCACTATTACGCCATGAAATTTGGTATGCAGGCTGGTGGTCACCTTACCTCGCTTAGACTGCTGATAATTTCAGGATTAAAAATAAAAATTAAAAACTATTCTTAGGATGCCGTACTATCTGATATGAGTTTTCATAATACTTTCAATAAGCCATTAGGCAATTAATACCGTAAGGTTTTTTAAAAATGTTTTTGCTATGGTGTCACAAAGAGGACTTGTTTGTTTAATCATGAACAGACTCCCATGCCTACAAGTCATGCTCATAATGAATTGTGGGGTCCATGTTTCCTTCTTACCCTCAGGATAGGTGGGGTTGATTCCATACTTGCCTCAATCTGCTGCCTGAGGAGGATCTGGGCATCGGAAAGAGCGTAACAGGTGCTGGCTGGCACCACTAGGAAGACACAGCCAATCACAGTTAAAGTGGTGATTCATGTAATCAAGCCAAGCTTTGGTATAATTTATAGGATTTTTAGGTCAGTAATGCCATGTTTTGGTTCAGTTCTCCCCAGGAACAAGATGAAACACATGTTTTTTAAAAAAGGAATCTTTTTCTCATGTAAAAGTAGACTGTGTTCTTCTGCTAACAGAAGGAAAAAGAAGAGGAGACCAGGAGGAAGAAAGGCTTGCTTTCTCCGGCCTGCCCGCTCTCGGGGCAGCCGCGGGGCTGACTTAGTTTCTGCTCCAACTCAAGCAGGCGGAGAGGCCGAACTGGACTTGGAGGGCTCCCTCCCGCACCCTGGCTGGGAGCCCGGCCTTCGCCGTCTGAACCTGGGCAGAGGAAACCCTCCTTGAGCATCCGGTTGAAGCCTTCGGTGCCTGAGTACAGAGAAGCGGAGCCCTTTTTCGTGCAGGAAGAAGTGGACACGGGACCACAGGACCTGAAGACGAGGCCCTGGAGGGAGTGGACACTGAGGAGACCCAGGTAAAGCTGGGAGAGAGTGACGTCGTCTTAGCATGGGTTAGCCGCAAGCAGTCCGGGGGCCAGGAGGCATGTGAAGGTGACTCATTAACAAGTGTCTCTAGGAAAAATGGACTAGGAAATAAGGGGACGAAGCAGGAGAAAAATATCAACCAAAGCCCACGCTGAGGACGGCTGCACCTGCAGGTGAGCCCTAGGGACGGAGGAGGCCACACTTCAGAACTGTTCTCACCAGGTCCAAGGGAGCTGGAGGAATTATAGGGTCATCGATGATGGATTGCCTCCGGGGAACATCACCTCCAGGCTCTTCGGCTCCCTAAATGATGCTAATGGGTATTGACAACCTAGGGCAGCTCTCCAACAAAAAGTAGATTCCTGTTATATACGTGGGGAGTAAAAGCACACTGAAAATCTGTGTGCGCAGAAGCAGTAAAGGGCTCTGAGGGGTCATGGTCTGAGCACGGACCGCTTCTGTTGCAGATGGCCACACAAGATTCCCTTTTTCCATAGCCTAAGGCAATGGGGTCTCTTTCTCTTTTTCTTTATTGGGTAAAGTGTTAAGGTCTGTGCCTTCTGCGCTGTGCAGCTCTGTGAAAATAATCCATCGTCTAGGTCAGTTAACTAGGACTATTTTTATTTCTTCTGAAAATCCAGGTGGAGACAGGGAGAGGACCATAGAAGGACCTGAAGAGTTCTGCGCGGGAAAGTGACCCTGAATTACTAGGTAAAGTCACCAATGTCTTCTGTACCTGGAGAGTGACAGATATTGAGAGAGCACTCCAGCACCCAATTCACAAGTTTAAAAGCCTTGATTGTTAAGCCATCCCATCCGTTAACAAGGGGCATCTAGCAGGAAAGTAACAAGTACACAGATGTGCAGAAGCTATGATTCTTTCGATGTTTCTTGTATAAGATTCATTTTTTTGACAACTATGACAGAAAAAACAGGGACTGTCTATCAATACTAAGAGAAACAGTTTTGGTTCATTTATATCGGTAACTAACAGTATTAAAATGAGAGAGCAAGTAGAATCCTCACTTGGAGAATATCACCTGTTTTGTGATATCTCACACAGTGATTATCCTGATGGGAAGAGCATATCACAGGCAGTAATGGCACTGACAGACCCCCAGTCCTCCAATCCATCTATAAGGTGGGTGTTATAATATCACTAATCTATAAGGGCTTCTCAAACCTAGAAAGCAAACTTCTTAAAATTCAACCTGTTGAAGTTCTTGTACCTGTCTTTGCACATCAACAGGAGTAGGTGTCTAGCCATCCCCTAAGGTGATCAGTGGTTGAGACATATTTATATTAATAACATTTAACTTGCGTATATATCACCTAGGTAAGATTCAGCTTCTGTTTTTGATCAGATGGCTCTTCCCCCCTATTTTGATCTTAATAAAATAGGACAGCACTCAATATAGTGTTGAGTTAATTAAAAATATAGTGAATACCGCCTGGCAGGTGTTGCTCAGTGGTTTGAGCATCGACCTATGAACCAGGAGGTCAAGGTTTGATTCCTGGTCAGGGCACATGCCCGGGTTGCAGGCTCTGTCTCCAGCAGGAGGCATGCAGAAGGCAGCCAGGCAATGACTCCCTCTCATCATAGATGTTTCTGTCTCTCCCTCCCTCTCCCTTCCTCTCTCTGAAATCAATTTATGTATATATAGACTAGAAATAAGCTTAAATTATTTCTAGCACCCATTCTCTCATGAGGTGAAGGAGCAACACTTGGTGGCACCCAGAGATCTTTGAGCAAGTGACAGTTTACATGCAAATGGTACCTTAAGGGTTTTGTTATTTGTTTTGGACCTAACTTTGGGAAAAACAATATAAAAGCATTGTCAGTGGACAATTACCATCCCCTCAAGAAACAGTAATATATTATAGGTTCCTAAAGATAAACAATGATTCCTGTGTTAATTTCTTAATCAGAGAGACAATATTGTAAAATAAATCTAGAAATTACCCTATCCGTTATAAAGAACTTTTGTTTATTTGGAAATGAGGAACTTTTATTTTAAAAATGATTCACAAACCAATTCAGTGATGAGTTTAGCAGTTTCTTATCAATTTAAACAAACTCTTTACCTTAGGACCCAGAATTCCATTTCTAGAAAAATAAAAATATATGTTCAACAAAAGACTTGCATACAAATATCCATAGCAGCTTTATTCAAAATAACCCCACAACGTAAACAATCTAAAAGCCCATCAAATGCATTATGTTTCCATAAAATAGGATACTACTCAGTGATATATAAAAAGAAACTGTTATACCCAAGAGTGCAGATGAATCTTAAAACCATTTCACTGTGCAACAGAAACCAGACACAAAAGACTACATACTATATAGATTCTATTATTATGTGTGAAATTCTAAAGAATTTCTATAGTGATGAAGCCAAGCAGGAGTTACCGAGAACCAAGTTAGTAGGGAGAAACACTGCAAAGGGGCGTGAGGCATCTTTGGGGATGATGGGAATGTTCGACATCTTGATTATGGTGGTGGTTACACAGGTGTGTATACGTGTCAAAACTCATCACACTATATACACTTAAAATTGATCCACTTTTTAACATATGTAAATTGTTCCACAATAAAATTGATTTAAAAAATCGCGAGCCTGACAAATGTCATCCAAAAGACACATACACATTATAGGGCACATATAAGAGGACACTGGGAGGAGGCTCCTCTGGGCAGATCACACAGAAGCTAAATAAGAACCTCACTATGGAGTGTTAATATCTGACTGAATACTCCAAGACAGATTCTCAATTGGTTTATTATATAAATTTTTCTTTAATAATTTCAGTATGCCTTTACATAAATATATATATAGATGACACATTTAAAGCCTTTAACTCTAGTTTCAATATACATTAACCTAATCAGAGAATGGCTCTACCACGTTGAACTCACCATTTAATTAGAGCTTTACAAAAAGTAAATGTGTTGTTCATGGACAAGGATGGTTCATCAGAGAAGTGACATTCAAATTTTTACTCAGTGCAGGTAGAGGAAACAATCCCAGATGATTTGCAGCATTGTTTAAAGTTCACAAAAATCAATCTTTAAAGAGACATTAATTATTATAATTTACTTAGTTAAATATATATGCCCTCATTCGCATAACCTTAAATAATATGTGGAAACAATGATTATCTATCTGACTCCCCCCCCCCCACAAAACTCTTGGAATTTCTAATATAAAAAATAAAATGACTTTTCATAAAATACAAATTTAATATTTGAAATCCAATCATATTTAAGTATTAAATTTATATTTCATTCCTCATTGCAATGAAATTTGAGAAGACATGTTGCTAAAGTTTAAACCAAAATTATCAAACCCATCTAATTTATCAAGGGATTTATCTTGATTAATGTGCATATTAAATAATTCATTTTTATGACTATTTGTTACTAGCTGATATCATTTGCATTTCTTTGCTTCTTACCTAGTAATCTGCCATTGCCAGCCCAGCTTGACATTTCTGAGCTTGTAGAGATTTTCTTAAAAGGCCAGCACACTTGAAAGCATTAAAAGTTCAATTTCTCCCTTCTCTTTTAAATTTAAGATATTCTAATTTGTTAAACTCCTCTAGAGTGAGACAAATATCAAAGCCAAGTTTAGAAAATATTTCAAATCATGCATCCAAAGAATCTTATCAAAGTTTTAGAAACATTGGGGAACACTGGTTCTTTTGCCTGGGTTTGAACCCCAGGTAGGAATATTGTGTGGGGACCAAGTTCCTAAGGTAGGATTTTAGAGTTTATCCTCAGAAGGCATTACTCATGATACTTTTAGAGGGAAAAGCAAGAAAAGGCTAGATTATACAGAAGCCCTTCCATTTCTCAGGAACTTGGGTGCTCGTGAATGAGAGGCCTGCAGGCTGCAGAAGTGCCTAATCAATCCCATCTGCACCCCCTTCTATCGCTCCTTCAGGTATTCATCCACACAACGGATTTATAAGCCAACCAACCCTCTGTTCTCCAAATCATGCCAAACTGCTTCACGGTCTCTCAGTGTTTGCACATGCTTTCTCCCCTTTAAGAGTAGATGTGTATGTTTTTCTTAGATGTTCATATCAGTGTGGAAATAGGGCAGATTCCCATGATCAACGGATGTCCAAGTATGCCCCTCAGATAATCTGACTGCCCATGGAAAGGGCTATAATTATAAAAAGATAATTTGTTGTCATTCCCTTCCCTCTGTAAAGAGGCTTTTCTCACTTACAGACACACACACAGAAAACCAACAGCATTAGAAAATCCATTTTGCTATTATGCAAAAGCAAATGTAATGGGGCTTGTATGAAGCAGCCCCTTCAGGACAGACGGACGCAGACAAGCAGCTTGAGGATTGTTTCTATGCCGCCCCACTCCCCCTCCTTCCCAAGAAAAGATCGATGGTGTATGATTTAGCGCCGGGCAATCGTGTCAATGCGAGGTTGAGACTGGCCTGTGGTCTGGTAAAGGAGTTGCTCCCTGGAACCTGTTGTGAGAAAAGAGGGAAGGCTGGAAACGATGGAAATTTTGTAAAATCCTGCAGACATACAACACAGAATCAATCCCTTAGCACTTAGCACTGGTGGAGAGAAGCCAGATGGCCATTAATTAATGACAGAAATAGTTCAGATCAGTCACGAACCAGAAATAAAGCAGACAACCACACAGACTTGAACCAGGAATGATCTGGAAACAGATTCATCAAGCCCTTACCGCACTTGGCAACGCGTTCTGGGGGCCAGGAAGGGTGAGCTTGAGGAAGACACTGTGACCAAGCACCATGTGTTGGTGTCTCCGATAGCCCAATCCTCACAGATAGAAAACTCTTAACACCAGTCAAAACAAAACCGTGTGACAATCTCAGTCACAGAGTAAGGTCCCCCAATTCCAGCCCCATAATAATGAATAACACAGGGCAGTGTCCTTGCTCTTAGACCAGCCAGACAATAAAGATAGACAGCTGCTTCTATTATTGAAATCATTTTAATGAAGAAAAAATAGGATCTTCTATTGCTCATGGCATATCCTGAAAACAGGGCTTTTAGGATAGGCTGCCATTCTGGCTCTGATATAACCAAGTGGGATGGCTTAGTTATTTGCAACTGCTATTATTCTGCGGGTTCTTGCGACTATCAACCCATCTCAGAATGCAAGATTTTCAGAAACAGAAACCTCTCCAGCCGTGCTATGGGACAGGCTCTTTGTCAACAGGATTAGGCTGCTAAAGACACTATGTCAGCTTCACTTTTTCATGACCGTTTTATTCCGGTATTTTTGTTACACTGGCATCAGTAAATGTGAAACATTTAAAATGCTCCTAAAGCTAAGTAATAAAATATGTTTATAAATTTTTCCACAAATCAAGGCAAGTATCTGTGTTTTTTCCCCAAAAAACAGGAAAAGAAAAAATAGCATATTTTTCTTTCTCCATCTCTATCTGCACCTCTCCTCCAATGTGCTCTTGGAGGGGAGGGTGTGTTGGGGGGAGGTAGGTGGGTGTGTTCCCCTGCAGTAGTTAGTGATCATTATCTTGAGTCATATGGGACATTTATTTAATGTTTTCTTCAGGTTTAAAACTGCTTGGCATCTGGTTGATCTGTGCTGAAAGGGTTAAATTAACATGGTGCGAAGGCAAAGTTAGCAAGGGACAGGCCATAAATGGCTCCAGCTGTGTATAATTAACTGTATTGCTGCAGAGTAA